TTAACAAAAAATTGTAATATGGATTTTGCAAATGTTTACAAGGAATGCAAATTAGAGATTTCAGACTCTTAGAGAAGGTTTTGACACATTGTTCTAAGACCTTAACGCTGTAAGCGAGATATCACATGAAGTTTTGTCATTCATGTTCATTGAGCGAACGACTAAGATTTCTTTGACTAACTATCTCCTGAATGGAAAACCCACTTGAAGATCTAAAAGCCCGCATTTGAACTAACCTGTAACAGGTTCAAAAATTAAAGTGGCAGTCAAGTTGTAAAGCGTACTCCGTTCGAGGGCAAGGAACCAATGCTATTCTAAATCATTTTGTTTTCAAGTACAGAAATCCTTATTTTCATTGATGTACTATAACTAAGTGAAACAATCGACTCATTCAAGATTTGTTTTAGTATACATATGTGCATATAAGATTGAGTAAATAGATATTGATAGACGCTTGTTACTCAGACTAAGTAAATAGATAGTGTTATCTTCTTAGGCATTAAAATTTTCATAAGTAACTGTTGTAATTACTCTATTTCAGCAACCAGACAGCTTATTACTCATATTGGTTTCCTTGTCTGTGAAGTGGATTTATATTTCTCAGTTTTGGAACCTCATTCCAAACGTGGAGGATGGTTCACCCGTGCGAGTGGATGACATAGATGCAGCCAATGTGGACTTAAGCGATGTATTCATCTAGTACCGAGAATATTTTCTGGACTGTGACATGTGGAAATGTATTTACACGCTTCACTTGTTTTGAGTTCTGTTTAGATCCATGTCGATATCCTTTGAATATTAAGCAGCTGCAAATATTTCTGAAATCTGCAAAGTGTTTTGATACAAGGTTGTGGGTCGCGTCCAAATGCCCAGCTACAGTATATCTTCTTTACGCTAGGTTTCAATATAGCGTGATAGTGAACAGGTGTTTGATAATAAATCCATGCTCATAGTAGAACTGTAAGTGCCAACTTGAGGACTACAATGGGTGTAATCCCATTGGGCTTAGAGGGTCTTGAAATGCCTACGAAATGAAAGCTTCATGCATGAGCTCTAGAGACCTTGAATTGCTTTTAGCGCTTCAGACATACTAAGTTTTGTTGGGATTGCAGTGAAATACTATATCGAAGGAACAATTGGAGCGGCTACAAATAAATTACTGGTAAGATTGTCGGATTAGGCAGTTTCTAAAAGCTCTTCAATTAGAAAGAGTTCTTAAAATCCATGTGTTGAATCTACGTTTTGATTGATTCCTCAATTTGTTGAAGCAAACATACTAGGATTATTTACCTTGCAGTTGGATATAGCATATGGATGAAGCCCTTTCTTATCTCCAAGTGAATAATGCAAAAGTGAAATCTTATCCAGCTCTTTCTGTTGCTGCTAAAGGGAGCTAACAATCGAGTGACCCGAGCTATTAATCGAGTGATCAGCAGATTTATTAGAATTTTCAAGTTGAAGAATATGGATGAGTATGAGGAGTCTTTGCAGGCATATTATCACAATGGATCTGCAATTATTGAGATTTTCAACACAAAAAGCATACCTCTTTCACCTTAGACAATTTTTCAACATAGATACTCTAAGTGGAAGATGGTTGGAGATCAAACAAGTAAGATGGTTGATTTAGCTGGAAGAAGTCCAGATGAAGTCCAAACAGAGGTCAAGCGTATAAGATTGGGAGAAAAATTTGACAAATCTGAGGAGTTTAATAGATGTCTTCATTCTTGGAGTGTGATAGAAGGCAGAGCATATCATTAATTCAAGACGAAATTCAACTGTCGTGTGCGTGTTTGCTGATATGGTTCAGTAAGACGAAAGCCTTTGGTTAGAAACAAGAAAACTGTACTAACTGAAGAGTTTGAGGAGGAGACAGTTTCAGTTCTAGAAGTTCAGAGTTCAACCACAACCAAGAATTCTCTCACAAATACATCCGCTACGTGTGTTAGTGTTCAAGCTACGAAGTTAGCTGCTAGAAGAATCAAGTTAAGTCAACCTGTGACAAACAACAAAGTTAACAAAGGTAACCAAAGTATGTTAGGCTATACGCGTTCGGTTGTAAAACATACTTCAAAGTGGATTCCTGGTAGTTTTGGACCAAGTCGTGATATGTTTAAAAACAAAAGTGAATCTTCTGTGACCGGAGCTTGTAGTGAATTAGACCTAATTCTAGAACAGGGATTTAGTTTCATAGATCCATGTCCTTTTAGATTGCGCTACCAACGCAGTGCAAAAGGGACATTTGTGATCACTTTGTTGAATGTTGAACACATATGTCCGCGACATAAGAGTAGGTGGAGTGGTCCTGCACATACTTCTCACTGGCTTGGTGGGAGTATAGGAAACAACGCAACATTTGTGAACCTGTTAGAGTATTAGTGCGTGAATTCAAGTCTAATTATAAGTTGAACACAAAGTATCATAAGATGTGGCGGGCTAAGGATATGGTGAAGGATTTTTTAGAAGGACAACAAAAATCTTACCACATGATTTCAGCTTTGATGTCAAAGATTTAAGAAGAAGATCTTGGTAGTGTAGTGAATTGATCAACATATCCCAATCCTACAATTTTTCAACGTGCATTTATATACCATTCAGTGACATGTAGTGCTATGAAGTATTGTGAGCCGCAAGTTAGCTTGGACGCATTTCACACAAAGAACAGTCAGTTTCCCTCTCAACTCTTCATGGCTACTGCTCTTGATGGAAAAAGTAAGTGGTGATTCTTTGTTTTGCTTTAGCACCGGTTGAAAATACAGAGAATTAGACATGGTTTTGCACTTTACTTCGGACTTCCATAATAGGTATATCTGATCAAAAGATTTTTTTGATTTCTTATAGGCAGAAAGTACTTTTAGTTGCAGTGAAAGATGTATTTTCAAGTTCCATACATGGTCAATGTGCTTTTCATATGAAAAGTAACATTCAAACAAACTTTTGGTAAATACTGTGAGGTTTTAATGTGTGTCTTCGTATATGCTGAAACCAAAACTCGGTTTAAAGAACTGATGAATACTCTATCACACACAAAAAAGAGTAAAAGCTTCTTCACATTATATAAAACACATTGATCCGCGACTATGATCTATATATGCATTTCCATTACCTTGATAAGGCAAAGTGACTTCTAATCATACCAAAAATATAAATTCGGGTTTATTGGAGATACGAGAGTATGCTCCTTACAAGTTGATTGTTTTGTTGTGGAATTATATTCAGAATAAGTTCAATGTTTGACGGTCAAAAGCTGCAAGAAGAAAGTCTATTCTGACTTTTTCAGCAGATGTTCGGCACAAGGTAAACCTGGGAACTTATGGATAATGGCAGATTGCTGACGACGGGAAGTATAGGGCAAAAGTTTCTACTACAGATTGCAGTCAAGAGTATGTTATTTCATTGTCACCGACAATCACATGTATTTGCGTGGAGACATAAGAAATGCTTTGGCCATGTGAACATCTCAGGCATTTTCATCGTTGTTGAAAAACCGAAAGTTTACGTATGTTATATGCTCTAACAGTTCTAGTTTTAATGAGTCTTCATGAATGCTCATGAAGATTGTTATGCATAAGCTATGAAAAGAGGTCGTCATCGAGTGGTGAGAATCGACAATGTAAAGGTTTACGCAAAGCTTCAGCAAAACTTGCATCCGACGATTCTATGGAAAGGATGATTAATTGTTTCTTAAGTACCCCATTTGTGATGATGTTGAGTTGCAACAGCCTCTACCTGATGATAAACAAGTACAAATTGTGAAACAGACAAAGACACGTCAATCTTTGAAGAACCAAGCTTATGGGGCAAAAGGTAAGTATTCCAAATGCAAGCAATAGGGTACAATACCCATACATGCGAAAGAAAAGCAGTTGCGGATGTGGTAGATTTTATGAATGAGGAGGCTAAGAGTGTGATACCCTCATCGCTGCTTCCCACATCATCTGTTGGATTTATTTCAAATGACATGTATAGTGACTTAGAAAAAATATCTGACATATACTTCCGATGGATTTTGTAGTGATAGTACTAGAGAATATTATGATTACAATGACAATGATGATATGCCCAATTTGATGTTATGATGATGTTATGACATACTTGGAGACTATATACTGGCTCCATGTATTCAGTTGCGTACATTTCATAAGCATCTATTGTTATACATTGCTTTGGACCTAGTGGCAAAAGAATTAATTTGTTGTTAATTACTTTACAATTATGACCCAAGTATGTTAACCTACTAGAAACTGTACTCGGTTTTGTTGAACACCTATCTCTTTACGAAGCTGCGATGTATTTATAGTTGTGCTTGAAATCCAAAACGTATGCTAGCTGCATGCATGTATTATCACTAACTACGTTGTGAAGCTTTCACAACGTATCACGTTTAACGTCTATGTTTATGCATTATGCTCCACTGGTGTTTTCTGAATGAGTCTGATTATTTGACTAGCTGTCTATGGTTTCCTTAGTATAATGTTTTGAGATTAATACTAATGTGAATACGGGTTCATATTAATAAGTATCATATGTCAATATGAAATTTTCTCTAGGGAATTGGCAAGGAGTATGCAGAGGGCTTCTTTGATCTTCTTCGTTTGCTATGTTGATGCCCTGCTCATATTTTTACATGGGTTCTGTCTGCAACCCCACAAGTAGGCTCACGTGTGCTTGGCAAGCTGGTTGATGCCTGGATGTGGACGGTATATACCAAGACGGCCAGTTTACTACTCATATTGCTGCAGTTGGCGCTTTCTTCACTCTGATGTTCTTCAACTTACAATATTGCACTAAAATATTGTAAAGTATGCTCAAAACGGGCTGCTTATGTGTGCATTTGAATATGGCTTTGTAAGTTTTCATGTATGTTTCAAAACTTACTTGTAGTCATTATATTTCAGTGACGGATCAATCTTTTGGCTGTCAAATGATGGTCTCCAGACCTTATGAAAAGCAGTCAGCAAACTTTTGTTGAAGCTTCTGGAATGGCCTTGGATTCCCAAATGGGGAGGGGATCAGAGAAAAGTGCACCCCCAGTTCAACAAACAACAACGGATACTATTGTTATTTTTGAGTTATAATGTGTGGTTTCGGTAGTACCTTGAGTTGCAGTCAAAAATAAATGCCATTGGAAATATCATTCTGCAACATCAGCCTCACGTGATCTGCTTTCAGGTACTCACCTCCCCTGAAATCGTGTTTCAAACGTTACCTTGCTTATGTGCAACTTAGATGTTGGAACTAGAAAAAGATGTATGTTGGTGGGAGACTTCTAAGTTGCACACACTTCATATGTGTCCATGGAGGTGACTACAAATATTTATAGCATATTTCAGAAGTTGATGGAAACTCTATCAGTATTCTGTTCCACCTGCTCAATCATCCAAGCGAGCGTATTCAGTGTGTCCAGGTGAGTTTGTCGAGAAATATTGAGTTCTTTGATGAAGTTTCGATACTTATCTAATAGCATCCAATGTTTTCTCTTTAACAAATTCCATCTTTACTGATTGTTCAGTTCTTTTGAGACAGCTTCAGACGTAATCTGTATTGAGAATAGTCATTCTACTAAATAAACAACTCAAAATAATATCCCTCCCGCGGCCCTCAATATTCCATATTATCAGTTCTGTGCAATCTGTTTTTAATAATGTCTTTCAGTTTAGTGCAAAGTCTATGATCTTGAAATGTGTAAGGTTCGAGTGAGTGTCTCATACCATATGATCAGATTACCTTTTCAGAATTTTCATCGGAATCCCTTCGATAACTCAGTAATGGGACGAGAGCTGTGCATGGCTGACATGGATGATGGTCATGGAGAATAACTTGTGGTTGCCACTTCACACTTAGAAAGCCCTTGTCATGCACCACCGACATGGAATCAGATGTACAGTAAAGAACAAGTGACCCAAGCCAATGAGGCTTTAAATTTTATGAAAGATATGCCGAATGTGGTTTTTGGTGGTGACATGACAAACTCTGAGAGTTTTAAATCTGAGAGATAAACCATCAGAATTATGATATGATGGTAAGTCTTTTGTACCTGAGTAGGGTGAAGCTTCAACCATGGATCAAACTATACTTTAGGAAGTGGAGGTGCACCATCCGTTTTGTCATCCATGTTTGTGCAGATTATTTTTTGACGAAACACATGCTTCCAAGATTTGCTGCATTTTGGTTTGCAGATCATCCGCTCATAATATATATTTTTTCAACGTCATTCATATTTAAATATATTTCATACCAAGGAGAGTCTTTTATGTAACTCATTGTGGTTTCTGGTATGTGCTTTGGACGGATCCAAAGCAATTATCTTTTTCTCTACTGACTCCAGACATGTCCTTACTCGTGCAATGCATTTGGGCATGCCTCACCGAGTTGTTGGACCATTAAAGAATGTAAAATCAAGTTTGATATTAACAGTATCCTTCGTGTCATCAAGGATTCGTAATTCTATTTCTTGTTTCTCAGTAGCGCTCTTAAATGGTTCTGAATGGTGCCAGACACACCCATGTATGCTTATGAGGCAAGCATTGTTGATATATTTTTCAACAGTGCTTGCCTTCTCATATACTATTCGATTAGTTTTGTTCCTATTATCTGAACATATGTTCCAACCTCAAAAATGCGTGCCTCAAACTAGGTTTGGATCTTAACATTTCAATTTACACTAACCTGGAAACAGAACTGGAGGTGACCCCAAATATGTATCCTCCCAGTACGATCCCCAGGTGCTTCAAGTTCGCATGTCTCATTGATCACATTAGTAGCTTGGTATCATATTAAGGTACACTGATTCTTGGATTGGGAAGCTACATCGACCTCCAGCTTCTAAATGTTGTGCTCGAAAGAAAATTCATCTGTGATATGTCTAGAACATATAAAGGTCTTATTTCCAAACCCTTTCAAGCGTAGCCTTGTAAGCAGAGAAGTCGTACAGAAATGAGATCGGAATAACGCCAACCTGATTTGGGGGTTTGATTGATGGGTGAGCAGCCAGGGTTGACATATGACAGCAAAGCGACCTTGATGCTCAGTGGGAGTCGCCTGCAGAAACGTATCGATCGTTTTTTTTTGTCATCTACAAAACTTCAAAGTGGACAGTCTTGAGATGGTTGGAACACAACCAATTCCAGGTTTAACCTACCAAAAGGAGCACTGGGAGTCGCCTGCAGAAACGTATCGATAGGTTTTTTTTAGTCATCTACAAAACTTCAAAGTGGACAGTCTTGAGATGGTTGGAACACAACCAATTCCAGGTCTAACCTACCAAAAGGAGCGGACGGTGATGAGAGAAGTTCAGATGCAAACTCTGCCAGTATACCCAAGTGATCACTTTGGCCTTCTTCTCAAGTTGCAGAGGCTTCAACCATGATCTCTTGTGATCAATAGCTTTTACAATGTAGGTATTATCCGTAGTCTTTTAAGTACTTTCGGACCGATTACTGGTGAAGACAACTCCGTTCTAAACTCCGGTGGCAAGCCACACAAGCTATTGCAAAAACACAAATTCGAATATATTTGTACAAGAATATATCCCTAAAAACACGTGTTGAAATATATTATTACAAAAACATATTCTTAAAAGTGTATGTATTAGAATTCATATGTAAAAAACATAAAATATACTAGAATATCTATTAGAACTCGGCACAGGTGTGGGTAGTGGTGGTCCATTGGATAAATTCAAACTTGATGGATCCCATCACACAATTTACGTTTGGATATTTGGATGGATCCCATCCATCAAGCAAATCTATCGGGCGAAGAAACAGTGAAGACACATGGATCAGAATCACAATGGTTACATGGCACTTCCTTGTCAAGAAACCAAGAGCTCTCTGCTTGCAAACTGAGACATTTCTTCCCCTCTTTGGTAGTATTTTAGCTGTATTTATACACTTGGGGTGCATCTAAAAGGTACAACTTACATGATAATTGATCACATGACCGGCTGAATGCTTTGTAAGAGAGTTTGTGGTGGATATGACATGGAAGAAAATTCATCACAACGGACTGCTGAGTTGCGGACTTTGTTTCGAACTTTAAAAACAAGAGTACTATAGTCCTGATGTGCAACGATGACATCTGAGTCACAGTACGTAATCAACATGAATATGGTACAACTACCTGACATTAGTGAAGTAATTTCGTAGAAAATATATGAGACTAAATTCATTAGTAATTGAGTTTGTTGGATGTGAGTTGTTCGACAGTTTTACTGTCAAGTAGCATTACAACGAAAACAAGTCCCTGACGAGCAAAGTACACTATGACATCGGGATAAAAGAAGAACGTCGACACGGGAGTGGATGTTAAATGGAGGAGTTTCAGGAGTGATAACTGTGCTTAACGCTGTGCACAATGAGAACTATACTTTGCTCCATGGTCCCTCAAGAGGTTTTATCTATCTACATGAACAAAATATTGGGATTGATACTGATTCGGCAGAGCAGTATCTTTACTGCTTTGCGGCAGGAGGTAAGTGGGATAGACATGAAAACTGTGGCGCTTATCAATCGAACTGAATAGAACCAAAAAGACATTCTACGGTTTAATCTGAAAGCAAGCTTGAAAGCCAGTTCCGTTCTTCAAGATCCGTCAGTGAGTATAATACTTGACTCCGAGAACAATCCACGTTGTTCGATCAATATTTTGCAGTCACTATATCATTGCGTTGTACTCGTGATCATTGACATTGTCTAAACAGGTGAAAACATGACTATCACTTCTGTGAAAGGGGACTGAGGACAAAGGCTGAACTTCTCTCTTGGAGTGAGTTGAGTTGCGACGGTATTCCAAAGTTTCAACTATTCGTTGTTCATGGCCACTTAGATTTCTTTAAGCAACTTGGTTATCATTCAAGACCTGAGTAATAGTTCTCAAAGTCCAAAACGGCTATAGCTATGGGGTGACATGAGATCTTGCCCGGTTCATGAACGTTCTTTCAACATACATCATACGAGAACCAAACCGATGACAAATGAGCAGGAAATTGGGTAGACAAAGAAACAAAAGAGAACTATAGACTTGTGAAGAATAACTGGTTACCGAAAAGCTGAAAATAAATTTTACGTCTAATCGATTTATGAAAGTCCTCCAGTAATGAGCCATACAAGAACCAAAAATTGAAGTCAGAAATTGAAAAGTGAAACTGATAAGACACAAAGAATCGACAGTAGAAAACAACCAGTGAAAATAATAAGTGGTATCCGAAAGGTTAAACTATGGTAAAGTCGGAAAGAAGAGATCCGAATGCATGCTATATCAGTTGTTCGGTTCCGACGTTAATTTATTTTGCTACTGCATATGATTCCAAGCACTTACCGAAGACTATTCAAGGTTGTCCTCGTTGCTTTGCCGTCGAAACCTCTATATCATTAGTAAGATTTCTTCTCCGGTATAAAAGTTGAGAGGGAAGTCATCTTTTTTGAGACTCGAAAGTCTGACATGAACACATCGTTGGACAATGAAGAAACTAATTTCTGCATGGTCTTTGAACAAACAAACCTCAACTGGTGGCTTAGAGAGGTAAGTCATGTAATGTGGAGTACAGTGGAGTTAGTGAGTCCAGTTCCGATGCACTGCAAAGGAACTGTGTTTGAATTTTCAACTTTCGACTGTCATATAGGAACAAATAAATAGTCATTTATTTGTTTATGGACAAATTTCTGAGATGTACTTGATAGCTTTCGCAAAAAGCCCAAGTAACTGTGGATGGTATAGATCAACGACTGGAAACAAGACGTAGAAATAGAATTCCTCGCAATCCGAAATAGTTGACATATACGCAGGCATGGTTATTTCAGACAATCGTATACCGAGGCGCCTAAATTACCTAAAGTGGCGCTCCCTCTAGCGTCTAATTTAATCGTAACATATATTCTTTAATTGGCTCAGAATTGGAGCGTGGGAGATTGCAGTTGTGAATCAGGTTATTACCACGTCATTCTCATAGTTCACTGAGTTCTAATCCAAAATTTGTAATTAAATTTTCTCTCGCCCAGGAGACTCACAGCCCGACTGCAAGCACCGCGTGATGGTGATTCTCTCTCCCTCTACCTCCGAACCACTCTGTCTCTCAAGATGACTTTTAGCACCAAGGCGCCTAAATTAGCCTAAATTAACTTTTTGATGCGACTAAATTAAGCTAATTTAGGTAATTAAGGCGACCGACTAAAATAACCATGCCTGCATATACAGTCCAGAGCTTTATTATGTAGCATTCATCAGCAACTCGTTCACACCGACATAACGTGCAATCCAAAGATGGCGTAGATCAACAACCGGAAACAAGAAGTACAAGTAGAATTCCTCACAACCTCCAAAATAGTTGACATATACAGTCCAGAGCTTTGATATATGGCATTCATCAGCAACACGTTCACACCGACACGACGGGCAATACAGAGATAGAGACTTTCTTCTGCGCCGTGAGGTTGAATGAGTCCCCATTTAGGCGTTTGTACTTGTAGGGCCAGAGCACGTATTTGTGAACTGATACTTGGATGGTGAACCCCCAGTACAAGAATGATACGTGGGCACAGTTTCACTCAAGCGAGTCAGGAGCTAATTCATTGCTCCTAATCACCAGCTGGAAACAAAGAGCAGAGATTGCAACGAGCTAAAGCGTAAATGATGATCAGTCGGCACATGATCATATAGCTGATCCATATTCAGAATTTATTTCTTTCGCTGATTTCTTTGGTATGATAAGAATCATGTCAAAAACATAGACCCCGTTTGCAATAAGAAGGAAAACGAAGGAAAAAAAGAGGCGGGTCAGAATGAAAATTACAAGTAGTTCAGCGGAAAAGAAAAGCATATAAACATCTGAAATACTGGTTTGCAGTACACTAATACTACTGTGAGTGACTGCCCTGCGGCCTTCCACGCAGCAGTTTCAATAAACAAACAAATTGGAGTAAGAATCATCCGTTGATCTATTTACATGCATTGTCTGCGGTGCGTGATTAGTCGAAAACTGGCCCAACTAAAATAGCGAAGGACATGGAATACAGAGCGGAAGAGCAGAAGAGCGGAAGACATGGAATACAGAGCGCGACGAGCAGGACTACCGTGAGCTTCGCACAGAGCGTTAAAACCGAGTGCATCAAACAAACCGGTTGACGTCGGCTTTTCAAACAGTAAAACGCGAAGAAACATACAAACATCAGGGGCAGTATATTTGGCAATAAATAATATATCGTTGCACTAAGCGTCAGGACCGTAATCATATTGGTTTCCTCATTGAATCAATAATTCTTAAAACAATACGGGCCTGCTGGGAGTGGAAACAGAATAAACACTACAACAAGCCTATTAACAGAAACCCATCAAGTAGAAACAACGACACGTTGCAAATCGTTTACAACAAAATAATTTAGAAATCTGTATCTCAAAAAGTCAAAACAGAATGTACCACGCTGGTGCACATCCGTTACGGACGGATCACCATGTACCATTCCGGCTACATTAGCCATAGCTAATACTACATATCGCCTGATGGAGTGTACAACCCAAAGTTACTCAATAAGCTTCATAATCTAGCCATAAAAAAGTCAAGCCAAAGGTGGCGGGTGTTGGATACCCTACTCTACTACTTCCAAGGAGATTACAAAGCGGACTGAAAAAGGGCATTCGCAGCTTGAACTGACTATTGTCAAAGCAAAATATACAGCAAGTCGTTAGCAAAAAGTCAACTAACGAACCCTGAAATGGACAGAACACAGAAATAGAAGCACCATCATTGAGCACCTTCTTTGAGTAATCACTCTGTCACGTCCGAGTTTGAAACCGAAACACAGCCTAAGCACCATGTAAAGCATTGGAACGGAATGTATATTAGTAGCTTGTGGAACTCAAAGCTTCGAGCCATATACATATATGCACAAAACCTTTCCTCCACAAAGCAAACTATCACTTCGACAGATTTAACTCAGACGGGCAGATGATGGAAAAACATGAACACGCGTTAAAACAAATTCGTTCATCGAGTGATGAGCTCATCAGCTTCAAACTTTGAGCTGTCAATATGTTTGCCACTCCTTGAAGACATCATGCAACTCCCTCTCCGTTAACCATAGTTAATACTGTGGAGAGATTCAAGCCACACTGTGCTACTATGCAGGCTTTGCAGGGTGAGCACAGGGAGATTGTTAGTTACCTCTATATGTTATTACTCTATCCTGTTATGGCTACGGCTTAGTGTTAGTTAACCCTCGTTTGAAGAGGACCTTGCGTTAGGTTTCTGTCTATTTTCGGCGGAGTAATAATATAGGTTAGAGAGGTTACTGAGATTCCTTAACACGAGTTAAGGGGGAGATTGTTGAGTTACCTCTATATTATATTACTCTATCCTGTTATCGTTACGGCTTGGTATTTTCGCAAGCGAAAAATTCGGCTTTGAGGAGACACTCTGCTGACAAAGCAACGAGTAACTGACACTGACTTAATATTTGGGGGGAAACGGTTCTGGACTATTCATGTGTAGAACACCTCGTAAGCCAGGTTCAGTGACAGATCACCTCGTCTTCCAGTTACTGCCCAGTACACAGAAGCATCATGCCAAAACTCCTACGTGAACTGACCAAAGAACAAAATACGTACAAAAACTGGGGTTTAGGGTAAAGCCTACATTGTCAGGCCATTACTTCGCAACCCTCCCGACGGACAACAGATACGAACATCTATTGGAAAGAAGAGATCGTCATTCGCATAATCCATAAGATGGAGGCAGAATTCCATGATAACCAGAATACAGGGTGCGCAAAAAAATTTGGAATAAAACCGTGAGAACGGGAAAACCATTGATGGAAGCGGGGTGCGTAATGGAAGCTGCTTTGCCTCCTTCAGTTCACAAACCTAAAAATAAGGAAGCCTACTCTGGGGCACTACGAGTCTAAAACACCTGATTCCTATACATATTTAGTGTTTCATTCATCTTTTGATTGTCGAAGGAACAGAAGGTATGGTTTCTTCATGGCATGAACACATTACAGAAGAAGCAAAGGTCCGAGGCAGTTTACGAAAACTACCGTCCTCAACTATCTTCAAAAAAGTTCACTTCTCGTGGGATTATTACTGACCAACATCAGTAGGGACGGGAGCGGTAACCACCACCATCGCGCCTATCGGGGCCACCGGTATTATTGTTGCGCCCAGATCCACCACGGAATCCGCCTCCACCTCCTCCACCTCCACGCCCAAACATTGTCGGTGCCCGTGGAGCGGATTTCTCCGCCATTGTTACCTTGATCTTATTCCCTCTCAAAGAATGGTCGTTGAAAAAACTTCCGGCGGAGTGTGCTGCCGAAGGGTCTTCGTAGGTCAAAACAGCATCACCCTTATTCTTTCCGGCTTCGTCTGTGTAGATCTTTACATTCCAGGGCCATTGATCTTTGTACCCTCGCTTTTGTTTTATTCTTGCGACCTGACCTATACCTCCAAAGAGCTCCCTCAGCTCGTCCACAGTCACATCCAGAGGCAACCCCGATATGTAGATTCTTGTATTGTCACATGTGTCGCCACACTCATCGTCGCACTGCTTCACTTTCACAGGGGGAGGCTCCTCGCCGCCGACCTCGCCTCCATACCCAGACCTCCCGTCGTCGTTGTTACCCCCACCGCCGCCTCCACCACCATACCCTCCTTGCTCCCTCTCAGCGCTCCTGCCACCGCCTCCGTGACCACCTCCCGACCTATACCCGCCACCGCCACCACCCCCGCCGTGCTCGTTCGAATTCCCATAGCCCCGATCACCATTCCTGTTGCCGCCACCACCACCTCCCCCGTCATATCTCGAATTTCGATCACCGGGCGGCCCTCCGTCTCGTCCTCCTCCATAGCCTCCCCCTCTATTGCCCCTGTAACTTGACATGCTTCGTCCCCTTGTGCCAACCTACGCCGCGAACCAACCCTGCTCGCGCAGATAGCTCCCCTCCCCCGCCCTCCCCCGAAGCCACCACCCCGCGCCCAACCCCTAATTCATCAATCCTCTCGATGGCATGTCCAAATCGCGTTCAGCTGCACTCTCGCGACTTCCCCAGGCCCCCTCGACGAAAACTCCCTCCCTCCCCTCCCTGCCACGGCCCCTCCCTCCCTCTCCCCCTCTCTCTCGCTCGAGCCGTCGCAGCAGGCAGACGCACACACGCAATGGGAGCCCTCTGCTGCGCTCTTCGCCGCCCTCGTCGCCTCTCTCTCTCTCCCTTCCTCCCTCCCGCTGCTTCCTCCCCGGTCAAGTTCGGTGGGCCTCGTTCTCCTCCCGCTCTCCGATCACCACCAGTCCCAGTTTCTGGTTGCGAGGCTAATGGGCTTGATTAGCATGTCTCCCCAAGCGTCTTATCCTTCGTCCCTTCCTTCATAATCCGTTCGCACATATATATTCCCACCCCTTCCTTCTCTTTTTCTGACCTTTCCCTCACGCTCCCGCATAATCTTTTTGAGGCGTGTTGCGTGTTGTCCCGCACCTCCTCCCGCTCTTTGATGGTTTGTCGTGTTTTCATCTCGTTAAACCAACTCACCTCGGAGTTCCAACTCCAGGTCTCGACCCATATCTCCAAACTTGTGCATTCATTGTTACTCATGTTTATTTTCTTGATAGCACTGCCCGATGTTCCTCTAATCATCGTTTTGTGTTAACCGTGATTTGCCTGTATGAAATCTGAGCTATGCAAGAAAAAATAATATGAAGATTCATTACACCGTTAGATCTTAAAGGGATTTTATATAGCAGTGAAACTTGTAAATATACTTTGCAATGCAAAATCTAATGAAAATTATTTTTCTTGTACTCAATATTACTTGAAGGGATTTCATTGAAACGCAAAGAGCTTAAGGGGATCTATCACGTATTATTTTGTCCAATAGGATGCCACCAACGGCACAGTATACCCATCTTCTAATATGGAACTAAGGTGATTTCTAACTCGGTGTTTAGAGGAAGGCCGTGAAACACGAGGAGGAATTACCAGTATAGGAGAGGGGTCGGAGGGAGTCTACAGTTCGTTACAATCGGCAACCATTGCAATCAATGATGAATGTTTGATGCTGTTGATTTATCACATTGGCAATTTATTGAAGTTTGACGAGCCTTTACGGCGGATGCCAAACTTCTTATTCAAGATACAATGATCTTCAAATCTATATTGCACGGGGATGAGCATGAATTCACCACAATCATCTCATTCCACATGTTTTTCTTCTATCTTTGATTCCAAATAGTCTCAAGCATATCACATGATCGTTTCAAATCAATTTTGGAATAGATTTGCTTGTAGTAGGTTAGAAGTTTGTCGAATATTAGTCCCAGCTAATCCGTGAGCTTGAATAACTTTAAATGTGTGAACGGTTTGTACTTTCATTGCGTTTAGAGTACAATGTGTTGTGGCTGAATGAATTGTTTTCATATGAATCTTTGTGATGATCGTTGAGGACTCATAGTGACACAATATCTCATCTAGTCACGAAACAATGTATATCTACAAAATTTCTTCCTAACTAATGTTTGATGTTATACTCTCTGCTATAGTTAGACTAAGGAAGATTTTTGGTGTAGTTTGTGACTTTTGGTCTTACTCATAGCATATGATTAGGTCTCAAAAATCTACTTGTATTATTTTATATGTGTATTGTTTTTCATCAAGCATTTTGAACGTTTTACTTCCACACAGTGAGTTCTAACATACCTTAGTTTGTTCAACATGGAATGAGAGCATTTGACATAGAACTCTTTCATTTTCCATGTTTTATCTAGTCAAGGATTAGAGTCGCAAGATTTCCATATTGTTCCATGCGACAATATTTCTATTTTATTAGTATTCTTGAGTTGTTTTTTCACTCATCTCCTATCATGTCTTAGACTTCCGTTTTAGATGACGATGCTAGTAATAATGTGGTCACAATATCTAATGGAATGATGCTGAAACTGTATCTATGAGTATTTCTTCTCAAATCACTAGAATTAATGATACTATTGAATCTCAATCTAAAAATGATCCATGTTTTCTTGAGCCATACCAATTTGAAGTATTAATCAACTATGGCGTATGGTATTTTAAAAATCAACATGCACTCTTTGATTATTGCATACTACTAGCATCCAATTTTGCTAGTCTACATGAGAGTGCGTTTCATTCTAGAGTCAATGACATTTTGATCAACAATGCAAAAAAACTCAGAGATGAAAATCTAAAGAAGCAACAATGAGCCTCTTGCTCGTTGGTCATATCTTAACAGTAGAGAACTACACTAAACCTCATGCTTGTTGTTCATATCTAAAGAGTAGATACAAGTCTACTCTAGTAGTACAAGCGATTTTTGTAAAATTCATCTGCTTGATAAAATTTTTTGCCTTGAGAAAAATTGAAGCAGTCATAATGGGTTTTCATTTTACATAGGTCAAGAACGATGTTAAACTCCTAGAAGAATTTAATATAGTTACACTCAACAAGGTAGTAGTTTATTACATACTGAAAAACCTTCTGAAAGATTACAACATTGTACATCACATATTGATAGAAAGTAGAGTATCACCATCATTAAATGAAATGAAATCCATATTGCTCAGTGAAGAATTTACTATAGTACTAGTTAATGAAGATTGTACTAACGAGTCTCTTGTAGTTTATAGATATCGTAATTGTAGATATCCATTTTGTTATGGATCAAACAATCAAGTTACTTTCAGAGTATATTCAAGCAACAACATACGTAAAAATAGTTTTATAATACGCAATTATCACTCTTGCTTCATTCTTTCTAGATCGCTCCAAACAATTGCAATCTAACGGATCTAGTTCATATCAGCCAAGATCTAAACTTTGCAAAATCCAACAAACTCGAACATCATTTATGATTTTTGTATACAGAAAGTTGATCTTCATTGTGAATGCAAGATCAATGCGCTAGTATATCAACTCCACGACATGTAACATCAACTATATAATAAACATGTGGTGTTTGTCAAGTTCATGTAGTTGATGATAGTGAAGAATAGCAAAAAGTTAATATCAAATATGAGAATGAGTAAGTAGTCACGCAATCTCCCAAATCTTCATGAGCAGATTAGAAGTTTTAGATAAATACTACACGTTGTAACACTAGGGTTAAGAGAGAAGTTCACTTGAAGATGGAAACATAAACTCTGAAGATGAGAGATACTAACAATGGTTCTACTCTCCCTTATATAACTCTCACCAACAAGTACAAGGAGATAAGAGCTTATTCCCACCATCCATTCCACTCCAAGTGGATGGATGACGTGGTGGATAACCCTCACAAGCACACGAATCGCTAACGTAGTGCTACCAACTAACACACTCAATCTTTATCTAACAATCACACGGATCGTTGACGTGGCAGTTATCACTAATGCACGCTAAAGTATCTATATCAACATTTAGAACAACCTCTACTTTAGTTCTAACTAACTAAAGATGATTACAACCTCCCTCCTTTTAAGACGCAATGTTCTTGTTGCACATTTGTTCAAATTCTTGAACTATTAACGGTGTATTAGCTAGATTTCCAACCGAATCCTAAGTTGATTCATATGATGGATATCTTTTCTATTAAACCAAATACTCAATCCTAGAACACGTATGGCCTCAAATCCGTTTCTTGAGTATCTATTCTACCTCAACTTCCTCGTGATCAGCTATCAAGGTATGGTAAAAAAGTTAACAATGGTTGATTTGTGAATTGTTTTGGTCTTGATACATGTTTTTGCATGTTTTTGTTTCGTGACACATGAAATACACGATGTATTTTCATATGTGACTGAAGCTCCAACTTGTATGACACTTCACCAACAAATTTCAATATCACAAAAGGACTTATAAATCTAGGTTAAACTTTGGTGTTCTTATAAGAGACAAATTTGTTGTAGATAGCAAAACTTGATCTCTAATTTAAAAAACTAACTTCCGACGATGAGCATTTGCATGCTGTTTTTGAGCAATCAACAACTTTTGCTTTGCTTGGTGATGCCCACGGTGGATATGTTCCACAAACTCGTTGACTGCGGCTTCCTTAGTTGAAACCTCCTTTACTTTCAAAAATTTCATCAAACTTGATGGAAGAATCGGATGAGCATCATACAAGAGGTAAAATGAAGATACCTTTGTGTATGCATTTACAGAATTGTTATATGCAAAATCCACAAGAGTCAAAAGAGTATACCACTCTCTTTGCTCCTCTAATTTACTCTATATACTCTATAATTTTATTGCTTCTCTTTATTTGATCATCAATCTAAGTATGATAAGCTATTGACATTGTTGGTTTGGTTCAAAAAAACTAAACAAAGAGTTTCCAAAACAAACTAGTATAATGAGTATCTCTATCAATGATGGAGGTCTCAGCATCTACGTACAATTGAGCAAGTTGTGGAGTTGTCACTATTTTTGTGATTGATCCAATGTGAATCATCTTGTTCAATTTGTACACAAAAACCACCACTGAATAATTTCCTAAAGAAGTTTTTGGTAATTCACATACAAGATGCATGGTGACGTGTTCTCATCGTTGTTCAAGAATAGAAAAAGGCTGGAATAAACCAACTGGTTTTTGATTACTTGTATTATATTGTTAACAAGCTACACAACTTGGAACGTAAGCCTCCACGTACTCCCATAATTTGAGCCAAAAGTAACTCCTTGGATGCTCTCCAAGGTCTTTTCCACTCCCACATGGCCTGCAATCGCTGTATCATGATTTTTTGATAAAATCATTGTGCGTAAGTCTGGATCTTGTGGAATACATATATGTTGTTTCTAGAACGCAAAACCTTTTGCTTTGTTTGTTCTTCCAGCTTATAATGTCATCATGATCTCTTCATACTCCTTTGTGGCATGTGTCATCTTGCTCCATCAATTTGCTTGAATCTTCACTTTGCAATGCGTGATGGCAAATAAGGCATGCATGTGAGAGCATCCGCAAGTTACTTCTTGCACTCCACATACACAATCTTCATGTTTGACGTCAAACGTTGACGTCACTCTATCCATTAAATTTGTCGTTTGGAGAGATCTTTCTGAGTTTCAAAATAAACAAAAGATTTATGATCGGTGTCCACCACAAACGTTTTATCATCTAAGTAACGCTTCTAGTGTTTGGTTGCCAACAGAATGTCTAACTCCTCCCCATCTGTCATGTGATAATTTTGTTTCGCCGCCACCAACTTTCAAAAGTAGAAATCAATTGGATGTCATCCATTCTTGTTGAAGTATGTCATCCACCCTTGTAGCTGATGCGTCAGTAGACAACTTGATAGGACGGTGAGGATCACATCACTTGAAAATAAGTGCATGTAACAAAGCATCTTTCAATGCTTGGAAAGCTAACTCTTGAAATGTTTCTCATCTTCATTTTTGACCTTTCACTAACATGGAACTCAAGACATGAGCTAAGCGAGCAAAACCTTTCACAAATCTATGATAGAATCCACTAAGCCTTAGAAAATTCTTCAAGTGAGTTTGATCCTAAAGTGCTGTTCATTTTTGAATGGCATCTATCTTCTCACTCATCACTTGGATTCTTGCGGTTGTAACTCT